GAAAGGCTAGAGAAGACTAGTGATACCTTCGCCTCCGTGGTTTTCTGGATTTCCTTCAGTGTAAAACACTCAGTATGCCAAGGTACCATGTTGTGGCAGTTGTGTTCAGCACCCTGAACCTGGCAATTCTGTGGCAGTTCAGATCTAAGAACTGAGATCATCTCAGCTCAGGATCTCACTGTACATCACACATGTGACTGCTGTCACCTGGCAACCCGCCTGGGGCTGGGTGCTCTGAGAGTGTCACTGGTGGTTTGGTGCTGGGTATGCCATGGGTCTCCAGCAATCCAGCGCAGGCCTGTGGAAGCAGCATTCCCAGAGGGAGGGCCAGCGGGCTCCTCCTTTCTAAGGTTGTGCTTACATCATGTCTGCTGATGTCCCACCGTCGAGAACAAGCCACATGGCCAAATCCAGAGCCCACGTGGGCAGAGTATGCACATGGAGAGGCTTGTCCATCACTGCAACAATCTACCACAAATTCAACCACATAAATGTGCTTAAGTGGTACAATTTTCAGAACCTATTCTAAAGAAACGATGTTTCATTCAGTGATGTTCGTCATAATCATAAAAAGTTACAAATAATCTAAATGCTCAACTATAAGAGGTTAGCAAACAAGCCCATTTGGTGGAATACAATGCAACTATTTGTTGTTGTTATTGTTGTTCGAGGCAAGGTCTTATTATGTAGTACAAGCTGGCCTTCACCTCGTTACATGGCCCAGTCTAGCCTTCAACTCTTCCTGCCTCTGCCACCTACATGCTGGAATTACCAGCATTTGCCATCACACTGCCCAAATACAACCATTTCTTAACAATTCAGTGAATCGCCATGCTTGTTGGTGCGTGCCTGTAATCTCAGCTACTTGAGAGGAGGCGATTGAGAGAACTGTGATTCAAGGCTAGCCCAGGTGAAAACGTGAGACCCTATCCAAAAAAATTACTAAAGCAAAGAAAGGGTTTGGGTATAGCACTCAAATGGTAGAGCATCTGCCTAGCAAATGTGGATCCCTAAATTCAAAATCCCAGAACTGCCAAAAAAAATTTCACTGACTAAAACACTACTTATTGACATCAGAAAGTATTTGAGATATATTTATGACAATTTTTAAAGTAGCCTATAATGCATCTAATGTTTTTATAAAAATAGTGTGTATGAAGATGCACAGCATGTATCATGGAGCGGGAGATGAAACGGATAGACTTTAAATTGTAATAGTAATCAGAGAATAACAAAATGGACTCTTAAGTAAGACAGACCTGGGTCTGAATAATTAGGAAAGGATTTAACCCTTCTAAGTCTTGGTTTTCTCAGCATGATCTCTAATTTTATAATGGCTGCTGAACTTATTAAATAAGACAATGCATGTAGAGGCCCTTGGTTCAATACCCAATACCACCAAAGAAATTGTAAAAGGATAATTTTTCCTCTTTTTGACCTCCCTCCTTTTTCAATGAGACCAAATTATTTTATTTAATTACTAAGTAAAAGAGCAGCAAAAAAATTTCTTGAAATTATTGACCCTAAGGATTATGTTTAAAGGTTAAATAAGTCCCAGACAAATGGAGCTGAGTTGAAATAGGCGTTGCAATCCTGATTCAGCAAAAGAGGAGCTCTCTGTTCAGAGAGAAGTTAGAGAAACTGCTCCTTGCATTGAGAGGCTGTCAGCAACAAAATCTCCAGGTGTGTGGTAAAGATAAAACACAAAGTGTTGTTAGTGTGGCATTTACTTCTCAAATGCCTGGCTGGTATCAGAACCTCTATTAGGCCAGATCTGTGGGCATCTTTAACAGGAAGGTTATAAACATTGTGTCCTCTATTTTTTGGTAGGTTTCATTAACAATCTTGCCATTCCCAGCATGCAATGAGTAAGAAAGGAAAAACTTCTTTCCTCATTGCTAGGTTCATGGCTAAAGATCCTATAATAGAAGACAAGCATATGTATATATTTAATATAAGGTTTACGTGACATGGGAACCTTCAGAAATATAGATCCCAAAGCACAGGAAGCCCATGTATTTTTTTATGCTAGGTTTGGTGGAAAGTGCACGATTGGGCTGAACTGTGGTTGGACAAAGGAGATAGAATCTTAAGGCAGTAAAGTGAGTGAGGGGAACTTGCAAACAAGGCTTGTTTGTTCAGATTTTTTTTTAGGCCTCTGTCTTCTGATAAGGACATTCCTTTCCTCTCAGGACAGGGTGGACCTCTCTGGAACGAAGGTCTTATGACCTTCTTCAGGGGGTCAGTGGTGTTACGGCTTGCCTTCAGGGAGATTTTTCTAAAATGCATTGGTCAAAAAGGAGTAGGCACTTCAGTGGGAATCCTTTTGCCTACTAAACCTCCACCCTTATTTCTCACAATGCCAGGAATTTCCATTGTTTGTGGTCATCCACTTCCTTCATTGCCATCCATCTTCTCTCTTGTTCCGTCTTCCTTCCCGGAACAATGATCCCCCATATGATACTCCTAACTTTTCAAGCCAGGACCCCGTGAGTAAATAAAAAAGATGTATGTTCTGCAAATAAGAAAAAAAATCTTTTCTCAGAGGATTTACAAAATGTTCCCATGACTCATTCTCTAGCTATTGTATATCTAAGAGCCTTATAGTGTATGGGGAACAAAAGATTAGCCCAGATTCAGCTTACAGTTAGGAGACTCATGAAAAGTCAAATGTGTTAACACAGGTCATGGTTTGGGCCAAGCCTAGCAACTCATATGCTTCCCAACAAAGTCATTGTTGGTGTAAAAAGGGCTACTAAATAACAGGTTTGCTTTATATGAAAATAAGAGAACTACCTGTTGACAAAGGGAGGAGGAAGAAAATACAAAGTATGCTTTTGAAAAACCTGAAGCCATAGTACCAATTCCTAGTAATTCAGAGAAGCTGAGAGTAGTCTTGGAGAGAGTATGCAGGAGGACGGCCTGCATGCCTGTAGGCACTGTCCCGCTGGAGCAGCCTTAGGAGATTGAGAGGAGACATACTCCAGGAGTTGTGCCCACCACAGTCCACAGTAGGGGTAAGTGCTTTTCTCCACAGGACTCTCATTTTAGGATTTTCTGTGATTTGGACCACAGATCCCAGAACGGTGCAGGTGCAAGGAGTCAGATCTGTGTTAGCTGGGACACTCATGGACCTGGGTAGTATCCCTGTGTTTCAGTGTTTGGAAAACGCTGGATGGAGAAGGCACCCTTGGGCAGAAATATGGAGGCTATACAGATTTAGACGAAAAAGGAGAGCCACATCTGTAGTATAGCTAGCCTTGCTCTCATGTAATTACAGTCCAGTTATCAACACTGAAATTTACATTTGAAAGAAATCCACATTGTGCTCGCTTCGGCAGCACATATACTAAAATTGGAACGATACGGAGAAGATTAGCATGGCCCCTGCGCAAGGATGAAAGAAATCCACAGTGCAGCCTTCTGTTTCAAAAGGAACATGGGGGAAAAATCAAATATATGTATATATGGTTTGATGTATGGAGAGTTCTGAGCAAAGTAGAACTTTCAAAGGTTGCGTGCTAGAGGTATTAGAGGTACGGAATTGAAGACAAATCTAGGACTTACGATGTGAATTTGAATGTGGATATGGCTACAGTCTGGATACAGTTCTGCTAACAAATGATCCCATTAACTGAACACATAAATGGGACCAGCTGACAAAGGGAAGGGGTGTTCTAACCCTGGGACCAGTGTACTGAAACAGAACTCTTCTTTTGGGTCTGCTGGCATTGGTGTCAAGAGTTCTGATTCCTAACCCTGTATGGAAATTGACCTAAACATCTGATTTGTTTTTTAAAAGTCTGTTTGGGAAGTTTTTGAGACAGAGCTGCTCTAAGCAAAATTATTATGTAAAACTTGTCAGTATAACCTTTTGTTTGACTGTCTACCTTCAATACTTCAATACTTCAGGCACCTGTTCTTCAGTTACAATAACTACTCACAGGAAGGGTCCAGAATTAATTATTTATACCTGTCTTCATGTGCATTTAAGTCCATGTGTTGTTTCTGTGAGGTTTTATATTTGAGCCTTATTGTGACCTATGGATTTTTAAAGGAGTTATTTGGCACACTTTGGGTACCTTAATGTTTACCTGAGTAAATTTCAGTCTTAGTTTTTGTTTTTGTGGAGAAAAAATACACCCTACCCCCATTTAAAGGGAGAGAGCAGTGTCTAGACTCCATCTAGATGTGTATGTTCTTTCATATGCTTATTATAAGAGGTGTGACTCAAGCAGTAGAGCACCTGCTTTGCAAGCCTGAAACCCTGAGTTCAAACCCCAGTCCCACCATATTCTCTCTGCAGCTGAACCATAATAAACTACATTTTCTGAACAAGGAACACAGAGCCTGGGAAATCTGAGGAGTATAGCATGAGCCTGATACAAGGAAATTGAAAATAAAACATGAACGGAGTTTTACCTGCTTATGTTTTTTGAGTGTGAGGAGGTCTGGCAGGCTGGAGGGAGAGGTGAGCCCCATCTCATTCCCCTATCACCAGCTCTGGGAGGAGAGACATCCTTTCCAGTTCTCAGTTCCAGAGTTCACTTCAGGAAGTTCTTGTTGTCATAGTTAGGAACCATAAATAATTCCAACGCTGAGTTTCATTTCATTACTTTGATCTCTTTGTTCACCTATCTTAAAAAGAAATGGTAGAAAGAATCATCATAAGACTGACTTTTCTTACTTATTCTCTTAACAGGAAAGGGATACTAAATAGTACTAGACCATGAAAAATAATTTAATTCAATAATTAACAAAATGTATGTATGAACAATAATCATGACTCAAAAAATTAAATTATTAATGCAATGCCCCAGACAGTTTGCAAAATGCATGCTAGTCACATATCTCAGCTGCTGCATTTGGTCAAGAAATTATAGACACAGTAAAAGCAATGTTTTGATAATTTTAAAGTTCCTTCTATAGCTAGCTACATTTAGTTTATCAAAAATACTGATGATTCCTTTGGAAACCCGTGACCTATAGCTTCTTGGCTTCCTTCATTCATTCAGAAGAGATTTAGTCACCGCTCTCAGTGTCACAATGGGTGTGACTCACACAACGAGGAGAGGACTTGAGGACTTCTCGCATAGGTATTCTGGAGTTGAAAGAAGCCCAGGCACTTCGACCAGAGAGGATCAGCTTGCTCAGCGTGGCACTTCCTTCCCCTGGGCACAGCAAGAAGGTTGCAACCGACTGAGTAGGTTCCCCAGAAGCTTCTGCACCCCAAATCATCTCTAATAAGGTAACTGCTAACTGAATTTTTCACTTATTCCTTTACTTATCAAGTCAATCTTAACTATCTTTGATTTCCCACTCTTACAAAATGAATCCTGCTGTCTCTCAAGCTATGGTTAATTGTTGCTATTTTTCTTTAGTGTAGTATCTTAGAAGGCAGTGATGGGAGCAAGTCTATCTCACCCACAAAATGACCTTGGTGTGACCAGAGATCCTGCCTTAAACTCTTCCTGGCTTCTCTGTGAATGTCCTTATAACTCTAGAGTCTCAGTAAACTTAACTCTTGTCATTACTCTCTCTGTGCCTATCTGTCACCTACTACAAATCAGGACTAATTGGAAATTGAAGAGGGACAGGCTCCAAAAGGCTTAGGAATGTCAGATGAGTTTCTAACAGCACACATGGATTTGCTGCTAGCTGCATTAAGTTGTCTACTTGCTTTACCACTGTTATCAAATGTTGGTTTACATAAACACACACACACACACACACACACACACACACACGCATGCACACTAAGCTAAGGGAGACAGAGATGGAAGGAGGCAGGGATATCCTGACAGTGTACCTCTGATCTCTGGATCCTGGAATGACAACAGAAAACCCAGTCATATAGTCACATAGTCACATATTTACACATATTTATGGTCCAGTGATTTGTTATTTCAAATGGTGCTCTCTCTCTCTCTCTCTCTCTCTCTCTCTCTCTCTCTCTCTGTCTCTCTGGGATGCCCCAGTATCCTGCTCATGCACGGACTGTGCTTGCTTTGTCTGAGTACCGCTTGACAGGTATCAGATGCTCCTGGGCTAGATAAGGGAAACACTCTGTCATCTTTTGTGTTGACTATTTTAAGATTTGAAAAGGTTGGCCAATTTTTAGGACAAATCTCAATATTTAAATACGAGAAAACAATTAATGACTTATACATTTCAAATTAGGAAAACAGAAATTGGTTTTGGAATCCTTCTATCAAACATCACTTTCTAAAGGCCCAGTGTGAAACTCTAACATTTTAGAGAAATATCCTGAAGATGTGGGCACACTTTCTGCATCTATACAGTCATTCTCTCTATAAACTTTTTGTGAAGCTTTGTGACCATAAATTATAATAACACCCAACATATAATATCTTTCAGTTAGCAATTATTATTCAGTGGCCATAAATAAAGCAACCATGGATTTAACAATAATTCTTAACTTGCCAGGACTGTCAGGAAGAATATGAGAAAAGTAATAAGCCTGGGGAAAATTAATTAGTTAATAATTAGATATGTTATGGTAAATTATAATTTAAAATCTCGAAGGAAGGAAAGGAAAATCAGAAAGACTTTTACCCTTACAATAAAAAATGCCCGCAGGTCTTTCCCATGTAAGAGACAGGAGGCACAGCGGCTATGCTCTGTGGAGCACAGAAATGCACCTGCACAGCAGGAAGCATGTGCACCCACTTCTCCATCCTCACGGCCTGCTACCCAAAGCCTAGACTGGGCCCCCAGGGCTGCCTCCTGCCTCCTGGGAATCACAATTCAGGAGCAATGTAATCAAGGAAGTGATTCTTCATCCCACTTAGTGAGAGAACCTACCTCGCCATGGTGCTATATCACCACCAGTATCGTCAGTAGTATTTTAACCAGATGCTCAGAAGAAAATTAGCTGTTTAATGCAAGCACATTTCATGTAGGGTCCCTTAACTCCAAATTTTTAGTTTTTTTCAGATTCCTAGGTATACAAGTTTTCACAGAAACACAATTCTTTAGTTAGATAAATTTGTTTGTGTCATTCAGCTCCATTGTTTATTTTCCTTAAAGAAAAGTGTAATAGAAGTCTTGAAAAGCCACTTAGGTTAAAAAGAATTTTTACTTCAATAAGAAAGCCAAAATAAAAATGAGTACTGTGTAAATTAACCAAGGCTACAATATTTAAATACACCAGACGCATACATGTTCTGCTGAGGTCAGTATTAAGAACGTTTATGCAGGGGAACCTCCAAAAGAAAATATTGTAAAAAGCTGTTGCTAACTGTCCTCTATTTGATGTATCTTGTTAAACAATTCAGTTGTTGATTCACCTTGGACCACGACTGCAAAAAACTAAAAGTAAATAAGGTTTTGACAAAATCTTATCAGTACAATTGACTAGTTTTAGTATTATTTTCTAAAAGAAAATCTTTCCTGGACTTATGCGGAAATAAAATAAAGTGATCTGGAAGGAATTGTCCAGAAAGAACTCTACTTGTCTCAGTTGGGCATGTGACTCGTGCCTGTAATCTCAGCTCTGGAGAGGCCGAGGAAGAAGGAACTAGAGTTTGAGGCTAACCTGGGCTACATAACAAGACCCTGTGTTAAAAAACAAAACAAAACAAAAGCATATTTCACCAGACATTGAAACATTAGTCTCTATTTTTCATTGCCTGCATCATTTACTTTAAGGAGCAGAGGAAGGTAGATAAGAGAAGTAAAATCAAAGAGTTTTATTTTAAGTTTCTTCCTAGGAGAAGAAACCCAGGAAGAGAAAGTTAAAAGAAGCAGAAGTGAGCAAGGACAACATGAGTGCTGCTGACAGGCAGTTCCCATGTAAGCATCTTGGGTAGCAGATGAAGGAGAAAATCAGTTCTCTTTCCATGGTCCTTCTGAATCTTTGTAACCTGGTAGCAAGTTTTCTCTAAAATGTTTTCATTCCTCCTATGAAAGGATATTGTGTTTGTCTCCTTGTAGTTCTTCCCTCTTCTTTCACATCACTAAAAAGTTCAGAGATCAAAGTTTTAGTCCTGACCATTCTTTACCAAATGACCCTATGGGTGACACCCACTCTACCCCAGAAGTAATTCGATGATCAAATGAAATAAATATTACATGAATGCTTCTCGAAACTTTTTGAAGTTATTTAAATTGGAAGTATGAATATCATATTATTATAATGACCATTATCTTTTTGCCCTGATGAGCCGGAGATCTCAAAGATTTGTCAGCAGAACCCAGGAGCCAGAGTGGAGATCTCTTTCTTCCCCTCCTCTCTTCCTTCTCGCCTGCCACAACATTCATTGAACTTCAGTCTCTGGCCAAACATCACACAAGACACAGGGACTAGAGAAGTACCTGCACAGCCTACATCCCAGAGTTGAGTGGGAATTCAGATGGCATGGGTGGGACCAGAGCGGGTTGGATATCAGTCCCAGAATCACCACTCCAGTTGTATCTTGAACTGATTAGCCTGCATTTCTGAATTTTTTATGTCATAGATAATTGTTTTTGCTTTTGTTTTTTTTGAGACAGTGTCTCACTATGTAGCCCTGGGTGGCCTCAGGCTTGACAGCCTCCTGCCTCAACCCCTTAGGTGCTGGGATTACAGGCATGAGAGCCACTAGGCTTAGCCCAAGTGGAGAAAAATTTATCACAAGATTTAAATGAGGTAAATATTTATAGATCCTATAACAGAAGCCTAGAACATGGTAGGCACTCAATCAACCATAGTAGTTACTATTATTCATACCTGGTTTATCAATGAAGTGTGATAAGCCAGGAATCCCAAGAACACTGGGTTTCCTGAATTCCATGGCGTTCATGAGCCACCCATCTGAAGAGGACCCACAAGAGTCTGTCACGGCTCAAACTCAAAAATTTCAACCAGAATCCGGAACTCACAAATGCAGTGAATGCTATTTCTAAATTCACAAATGGTATTATACAGTGGTCTTGTTCACTGCTGCCAATTCTCCTGATGAGAAAAGGGCATTTTTAGATCATAGAAATTAATGCTTGTATCAGCAGAATATGAGTATTTTTTATAAGTAGCAGAATTTTTCTATGAAGGCCGTTTAAAACAAACAAAACAACAAATGTCTCATCAATGAAACATTTTGAAGGAATCAGTGACTGAGCTTCCAGAAAAGTATTTCTGGGTGCTGTGAAGTTCTTGGGCCCTAAGACAAGGAAGGTCTAGGCCAGTGGTTCTCAACTGGGGAAAATTTTGTCCCTTAAGGGATATTTCACGATGTCTGGAGACATTTTTGTCAGTGCTGGGGAAGAAGTGCTGTGGTGTCTAGTATGTAGAGGCCAAGGTTGTTGCTGAACATTCTGTGATACACAAGACAGACCTTACACAATGAGTTATGTGTCTCAAATATCAAAAGGACTGGCGTTGAGAAACTCATGCCTCAGTATGAGTGACATATCCAACAAACCTCTCACAACATGAAGGTGGTTGATACTGCCATAAAGATCATGAGCTTCTTCCTATACAGAAAGCATCAAGTCCTCTTAGGTCACCAGGTACTCTCCAAGGTAAGTGTTATATCCCTGTTTTACAAATAGGGAAAACAGAGACTCAGAGAAGATAAGTGTCAAGGGCTCTCTAATGACCAGGAAATTAATTGAGCCTCTGCTTGCCTACTTCTGAGGTCCAGACTCCTAACCAATGCTTTCCTGTTTTGACCAAGAGGTTTGTACTCTTACTAAACCATCTGTTGTGAGATAAATTGAATGGCACAGCAGATAAGCAAACAACTGATGAAACTGAGGTCAGTGTCCTGCATCTGAATTATGGGGACCAGAAAGCCATGTAGCCGTAACTGGCATTGAGGCAGCCCTATTAGTTGCTGTTACTCATTTACTCCTCAGATGAACCAACTGGCCATCAATCAGCTCTTGTGCACAGGTCATGTTCCCGAGAGCTCTGACCAGAGACTGCTATTCACAGATGGTTTCTTGGCTAAAACACTAATAGAGGTCTAAGATACACGTTGGCTTGGAAATTACTTAATCCAATGACCTAGAGGAATGTGAAATTTAGAGACTGAAGTTCATTTTTGGACAATAATATTTGGAGTAAGGACAGGCTTTCAAAACCTGAGGTCAGGGTTAACAGTCCTTAGAATTTGGGCCACAGGTGGAGGCATCACCCTCTGTAATGACCCAGGTTCTGAAGCACACCTCTGAAGAAAACAAATTTAATTGTCCTTCCCTAGCAATTAAAAAGCTCCTCTTCTTGTCACCAGAGAAAAATGGGTTTGTTTAGGAAGAAGGAAAATGAGGGGAAGTGGAAAAAAGAGGAGGGAAAAGTATATCCAACTGCTTTGGTTTGAGTTTTTGGTTTTCTGCAGTGGTTGTGGAAGTTAGATTACTAAAGAGTAAAAGACAGTCAACTTGGTAGCCAGTGTCACTCTACTGTAATAATAGCCTCTCCAAAAATTTAGAACATGATACTAAGCAGTCAAGATCTGAGTCCTTGGTATGCTCATTGCTGTTAGAGCCTCATTGCTTATAGTTCATTGATAGAGCTAGAAAGTTCTTTGTTTGTTTCTATATCTACCTACACATATTAAAAACCATGGGTTCTTTCCAATTCTTCCAACTCTAATCCAATTCCACTGCCCGCTTTCCATCTTGCAACTCCTCTCTTTGACAGTGTGAAACTGGTTTCCATTATCAACACTATATTTACTCAATAAAGTAATTTGCAATTTTAGGATTGTCTGGGTTTTAGTTATAGTGAAGACATAGAACTTTATATGTTTTTACTTGTTCTTGCTGAATTGCACTTATATTTTTTAGAGTATATTCTTAGAAATTTGAATTAAATGGCTGTCACTACCATAGCTACCTTATTTTTATTTTATTTGTTTTTTTCATTTTTATTAGCATATATTCATAGTATAGGGGGATCCTATAGCTACCTTATAAATGTGAATTATTTTAATATATGAATTAAAATGTATAGAATTACAAAAGAAGCTTAGTATGCTGAAGTACATCCAAAATATTTTTTAAATTATCTTTTATTAGCACATTAAATAAAGGTATATGATGGCAAGAATAATAATTACCATAAATCTGTAGTAATGAATACAAACCACATTTCGAGATAATTCTAACAGCAATGTGACATAAAAATGCTTGTGATTTCTACTGATAACAAAATTACACATACTACAAATACTTCTGTAGTTTGTTGCTACTTTCATAATTGAAAGCTCTGCTAAATTTTAGTTATAGTTTAGAGAAAATAAAGACCTTTCCCCATTCAAGTGCACAGTCCCCAGAATTCCATCCACAGACTCTCTCAAGGTTTTATAGAACCTCTTTGTCTGAGGACCTTGCATAGATGTCCAAGTCATCCATGACTTCAGAGGCTGAATTCAAGCTTCTTGAAACTCATAACCAACTTTCATATGCAGAAACAGCACCTACCTTCCTCACAACCTCCCTGCCCCCTAATACCTCTGGGAACTTGTGTCAGCCCTTGTACCTTAACGGAGGAGGCCAGTTGGCAGGGGAGAGGGAGAGATGACTCTGCAGCAACTATTTCAGATGTCAGAGGTTGCTTTTGGCCTGTGGACTTTTATCCCAGTCCTTCATCCCCCCATGGGCAGGTGCCATGTGTTGACTTTCTCAGCTCAGCTTGGACACTACTCCCAGCTCCATATTCAGGACTCCAGTTCTCTTACACAGAAGGGTGTTTTATCTATATTCGTTGCTCTTTCAACTTGAGCATAAATTATTTATGTAGGCAAAAATATAAAATTTTCAAGGCTTCAAAGGAAAAACCATAAAATATTGAAAGAAAATAAAATCCAACATTTGTAAAATGGCTTGGCCTCACACCTCTTTTTTGAACACAGTATTGAATAGTCCATAAGGTCTGAATTTCAACCCAGGGCTATTGATTTTCTCCGTGAGGCACTCCAGGTCCTTGTGCTTGTAAGAGTGGGCCCAGATCAAGGGCAAAGATCCTGTGTGGACACAGCAGGAATCTTTCTGGGTCATGGTGTGTGTGTGTTGGGGTAGAGGGGTGGATAGGTCTTTCCTGAATGTGATGTTTGCTCTCTCAGGCCTCTCTTCCCTCCACTGACTAGGAAGCTCATCCAAGGTGTTCCTGGGTGAGGAGGGAGCTGGTGATCTCCTTCCTTCAAGGTTTCCATGTGATTGTGAATTGGAAGGGCTGGGCCTCCATGGTGCTCAGACCTAAGACAGCCCGGGAGCATAGTCTGCCCCACTGTTAAGGGTGACATATGATGGGGGAAAATGCAGGTGCAGGCATCTGAGACAAGCGTAAAACAAATCATCCTGCTTGATTTTAGGCCCTAAGCCATTCCTAGCCATGACAAAATTAGTTTTCCAGGTGGTTCTGTTCCATTTATGGTCAAAGCCTCAGTTTTACAGTACAAATTGGTTTCACATTGTCCTTTTTGTATGTGACATTTTTCTCACAGAAAGCTGGTGTCCACAGAAGATAGGGTTTGAAGATTTGGGACAGTGGTTTGGGATAGTGGTCATTGGTCAGCACTTCTCTCTTAATCTTTTTCCATTTATTTTGTCCTCTGTCACTGGGGCCCCCACTTTAATACTCTCTATATTGAGTAGTAGTACTGAAGGAGCTGGATGGAAGGCTGACATGAACCTATTTAAAACAAAAAAAAAATGGAAACAAAGTTGAGAATGTTTTCTTAATGACAACAACAAAATGCTGTCCTTTCTCTGACAGTATGAAAATAGTGGGAATCTAACAGAACAAGTAAGACTGAGCTACACTTTCTCACAGATTTTGAACCTGTTTTGCTCTTGAATTTCACACAGGGAAAGAGATGATATTCTACTGTGAGAACCTCAGTTAGATGAGTTCACACGTGAGATTGCTGTTACCACTTCATACAACTCCAGTCACCCAGTGACCGTGTCGGCTTTGCCAGGGGGTGGCCCTCTTTTTCTTCCATTCAATTTCTCTGCGTTCTGCTTTGTTAGTTTTTGTATTACTTTAGAGAAATGGTTTATTATTTAAATGACCATCTTCCTAACAAACAACCAATTAAGAATTATCATTTTTTTTAATTTTCTATTTGTCTACTCAAATTCAGTAAAATATCTAAAATTCACTATCCTTGATGATCCTAATTTGAATTTTCTTTCTACTTTTGAACACTTAGAACATCATCTTCCTTTATTGTATGACAAAAGACTGACCCTGTCATATACAAGAGAAGAAAATGTTCTTTTGGGTGTTGTTCTTCCTAATCCTCTGTGCTTTTCTATGGAATTATAAAGAACAACTAAGGATTACAGACATCACTGATAAGTTCATTTTCATCACTGGGTGTGATACTGGCTTTGGAAACTTGGCAGCCAGAACTTTTGATAAAAAAGGATTTCGTGTAATTGCTGCCTGTCTGACTGAATCAGGATCCACAGCTTTGAAGGCAGAGACCTCAGAGAGACTTCACACAGTGCTTCTGGACGTAACTGACCCAGAGAACGTGAAGAGAACTGCCCAGTGGGTGAAGGACCATGTAGGGGAAAAAGGTAAGAGACATGGCGTGGGGAGGGTGGGGAATAGGAAAGTAGCTAGAGCAATGGAAATGTGTTCATGCTATAAATGGCCTTTCAGTAAAATATCTCCTAAGTACAAGAGTACAAGCTGCGCACCTCTCTACTCTTGGAGAACTTCCATGTAGTTCCATGTCACAGGCATGTATGAAAGAGACACTCCCCAAGCTATACAAGTTATACTAAGTCTTAAGTGTCAGTGGATTAATTTGGAATAGAGAAGTCCTGATTTTTCCTGGTGTTCTCCAGGAAAGAGAACACCTCAGGTGAGGTACTGCTCCAGCCACATATGCAGCAAAGGGAGTTGGGGTTGAAATCTACAGGAGAATATGGGAGCAATTCCCAAGTGACTATCTGGATACTAGAGACCCACTTTTCACCACAAATAGCTCCAGAGCTCACACATTTTTAGTAGGCAAGGTAGGAAAGGGCCTAGGGTGTCTGTATAAGAGTCTTAGATAGCCACCTGGACTAGTGAGCCATCAGAAACTCACTCCAACGTAGATTTTGCTGAGATGGTTGCATTCTGAGCCTGAAGGTTTTTATCAGCTTTGAATGAAGTTTGAAACATACTCATGGATGAAGATATCGGAGCCACAAAGGAAAAAAAATAAACAAATGTATGTGGTTTTTTTGTCAATTATATCTTCGTTGTGTATCTGAGACTGTAACTGAAATGTAATAATTTGTAAGACTCCAGATAATTTCTAATACTTGAATTCCAAACACGTAAATGTTAACAATACTCAATGTTTCCCATCATAAAACAAGTCAAGTGAATGACTGAATTTTCTTTACCCAAAAAAAATAAGTATCAAGTTGACTCATATCATTCTTTGTCCATACAGAATAGTTTGTAAAGATATCGTGGCTTTGCCATCTAGCAAGGAGAAGAAAACAGACCTATTTACGCTACATCTGAGCTGAGAAAGCCCATAGTCTCAGAAAGAATCAATATTCAACATTCAGAATCAGAAACAGAAATAGCAGTGAGATTGAACCCAGTAATCAAACTTCAGTGATTTCAATTTAGTCACTATCACTTCCCCAAACTGCAAAGTGTTTCAAAGCAGAACTATGACTACAGGAGGATATGGCACCATTGCAGAAGGCAGGAGCTGCACTTGGTGCCCACTAATGTCTACCATACCTCCTTTCCTCCCTCTCCATTTCAGGTCTCTGGGGTCTGATCAATAATGCTGGTGTCCTTGGTGTGCTAGCTCCCACCGACTGGCTGACTGTGGAGGATTACAGAGAGCCTATTGAAGTGAACCTATTTGGACTCATCAGTGTGACATTAAATATGCTTCCCTTGGTCAAAAAAGCTCAAGGAAGGGTTGTCAATGTCTCCAGCATTGCAGGTCGAATTTCTTTTGGTGGAGGTGGCTATACTGTATCTAAATATGCCCTGGAAGGCTTCAATGACAGCTTAAGGTAAAGCAAGTTACTAACCTGAGAAATAATAGCTGCTAACATTACTGAATGCTTAGTGTGTGGCATTCTCTTCAGTACTACAAACTACCCTTTATAGATGATAGCAAAACTAAGAGAGATTAAGTGTCTTGCCCAAGGTCGCCCAGCTTATAAGTGGTAGAACTAAGATTTGAAGTGAATTTTTAAATTAATTGATTTAAGAAATAATAGCTGCTAACATTTACTGAATGCTTAGCATGTGCCAGAGTATCTAACCCTAGTTTATTTTTTGTGTCAATGCTTGATACTAACAGTGGAAGTGAACTAATATTCAGTGGGTCAGTTTGTCAGTTAGGGAGTCATAGAAGGGGCCTAACTCAGAGTAGGTCTCTCCATCGTTACTGGGCATTTCAGGCACAACAGTACCATCTTATTTAAACCTTCAGTTGAAAAGTATCACTTCTTAAATAGCTGCTCTCTGTCTGGGTTTTACACTTGCATTCAGTGGACAAGCTTGGGTGGGCTGTGTTCAATCCATCTTACCTCAGCCAGGACTTATCACTAAATTGCAAGTGGTTCTTTCAGTCAAGGTTCTGACAAGAAATGGTGACAAATTAAAATTAAGTAAAGGATAGAGAGTGTACTTAAAATACTATTTTTAAACATGTAGGAGGTACCTAAGGAAATCCCTAAGAATAGTATAGTATTGAGGAGCTAACAACAGCAGGGGCATTTCCACCCATAGGCCTGAGCTACAAGGAGAACAGGGGAGTTTCTAGAACCTGGAGACAAAGGCTGTCAGTTTCAATTGAAGGATACAATAACCAGTGTTGATGCCACAGGAAGGATAGCTCCATTCTTCTCCTCTCTTTCCTTGACCATCTTCTTCTAATCAACTTTGCCCCATAAAAGCCAGGGTTAGTTAACACGGGTCAGCCTCCAGGGATCTGGTGCTGGCAGAGGAACTGGAGAAGCAAATGAAAGCTAGTCAGCCAAGTGGTTGTGTGATAGTCAAGAGGGAAGACAAAGCTAGGTATTGACTTGCCTTCAGTTCACCCATTTGCATATTCAATGAGTATTTACTGAGGCATATGTTAGAGTTTATGATCTATACCATGGATCTAGGAGTAGCTTACTAATAAAAAGATAAATGACTCCGCTGAGATTAGAAAGATTGAATAGATCCATTTTGCCATGTCAGGTTGCCAAGTTTGATTCTCCCAGGAAATAAACAATAATGTTGGAACAGTGCTTCCAAAATGTTAATGTGAATTTTCATTACCTCCCCAGGATGTTGCCAAAAACGCAGATGTTAATGGAGAGGGTCTAGGATGGGCCCTGAGTTTCGCTTGTCTAACCAGAATGCCGCCCATGGTTCACACTCACAGCAGTGAGGTCATGGAATCTCCATTAGTTTCCTTAGTTGACCTTTGGTTCCACTCTAAAAGCAGCAGTGTCATACTAAAATTTTTGTACACTTATACATTTACTCACTTTTAAAAACATATTTTAGCTAATTGTTTTGTGGGATTCACAGGGCAGCTATACTATGCTTGAAAGTAATCAATAAAGAGTGTTATTTCTTTCTGAATCATAGGATTGGTGTGCGAAATGGAATTATGTGCACAGACCCAGTCCAATGGCAGTTCCAGAATACCTACATATGGTAGAGTTTAGGGGCAGCAGTCTAATTGAGAGAGGTTTGGAGCTCTTTAAAGCTGTATTTTCCCAACAACTGTACTGAGTTCATGCTGGTTTTATTTGCCTTGTAGGCTTAGTTGGGTAGCTTGTCCTTAGATTGTAAGTTATTTTCATGAGTGGTTGGAGAGATGGAACTTCTCAAATACCCTGTCAAAACTGCTATTTCCAAGATCCAACAAAGAACAGATGACAGGTGAATAAAATACAATTAAACTGGAAAATAACCTTTTTTATTCTAATACAAGTAATACATCTTTTGAAATTTTTCAAGGTCAAGCTAATTCACATTTTTAGTAAAATATAATTCAAATTATATGATGGTGTTGCTAGAAAGCAAATCTAAAGTAATTAAATTACATCTTAAATTTGCTACTAGAGCTTTTAAAAAAGTCTTATGGTAAAGACTTCTGCAAAATGAGTAATGACTTTCTTATATATTCCTGGTAGAAATGATTATTCATACACTGGCCTGCAATACATTGATTTGCTTTCAAGAAAGGGGCACCAGGATTTCTCTAAGGTCTTGATTCCCTGGTAAATGAGTAGGCCTTTGGTTTTCTGCAGTGATGATGAAAAAGTTGGCTCAGAAGCATAGGAACCAGGTTAGGCCTATCAGGATTATCACACTGTGTCTTTCAGCACCCTCATTCATGCTGCAATTGCCTCATACTCATAAAGTGAAGGCAAATTTGTCCATCCAGGCCAGTCATTGGTCCATTTCACCATAAAGTACTTTGAGTATGGAGAAGAAACATTCTTAAGACCAATGTTAATCAACATAATGAAGAGCATATCACTTGTGGAGATGAACACTGGACTGGGGGAGGGGGGAGGTGGTCCTACCTAAATCCCTTTTGAGAGCTTCAGTTTCCTCATCTGCAAAATGACAAGGTACAACAAGATGCTTGTTTCCCATATACCCAATCCTGTGATTCCATGAAAAGACTCATGAGAAAATAGTCACCTAAACAACAAACATTCTCCAGATAAATGTGGATTAAAGATTTTAAAAAATAGAGACTGGGATGTAGCTCAGTGGTAAAGCACTAGCCTAGCATGCATGAGGCCCTGGGTTCAATCTCTAGCACTGAAAAAAATTTTTAATAAAAATACTTAAATTAAAAAGATCTTCACCTGTTCTTTTCACAGACGGGACATGAAAGCTTTTGGTGTGCATGTCTCATGCATTGAACCAGGATTGTTCAAAACACATTTGTCAGATGAAATGAAGACAACTGAGAAAAAGCTCACCATTTGGAACCATCTGTCTTCAGACATCAAAAAGCAATATGGAGAAGGTTTTATTGAAAAAAGTGAGTTTCTGGATAGACCTAGTGCCCTCTGGAGTTCATTGTTCTACTTAGTATGAAGGAGACTTGAACATAAAGACAGGTTCCCAGAGTAGGGGGTCTTAAGTATGTATCTGGGATCATTATGAATTCCAGTGTCATCCCTTGCTTCTCTGGCTTCTCTGAGTGTTTATAAACATTTACTAAGTGTTTATTTGCCAAATGCTAAGTTCTGTGCTCAGCACATATCATTTATTCCTCAAATAACAATTAGAGTAATTAACAGTCTGTGAAAGGTGAAATGTCCTACCCAAGGTTATGCAGCTCCTCCTGGTCATGGCAGGAACTGAGCAAAGGAAGGTCAGCTCTGGGACTCACAAGCTTCATTTCTACACATATACTCCCCTTTCGTTAAGCACCATCCATTCACTCAACATCACTCAAGATTTTGTGGTGGTTACAAGAGATAGAAAAGATTCAGACTCTGACCCTTACAACCAAGGAAGGCTGTGAAACAATGAGACAACAGTAAGCAAGAAAACTGATCTTCCTTAGATGCAACCCCAAATCTCAGAAATGGTGCTAGTCTGGGGTCTCTACCTGCCCAAGGAATTCAGACCAGGAAAATCACATATTCAAACCAGGAACTGTCTCAATGAGACAGGTCAGGTTTGAATAAGGTTTGAAAACCAGGAAGGAATTATTTGTGTGGAAGCTTTCAGGAACAGGATCACATGAATGGGAAATGGAAGAAAAGGTAGCAATGAGTCAAAAGACTGAGTCAGGGAGGAAGAAGAAGAAGAAAGATTACATAATGATGATTAACACAGAGAACATTTACTGGGCACTCATCACCATTCTAAGTGCTTTACTTGCCCTCTTTCATTTACAATCCCCAAACTGTGAAGTAGATTCCACAGTCTCCTTCATTTTATAGAAATAGAGGCACAGAAAAGTGACTTACCTGAAATTGCACAGCTAGTGAATGGATGAGCAAGATTTGAACCCAGCCAGCCCAACACTGCCATTTATTCTTGGACACTGCAATTCTTGGTCACAACAATGCCTTGAAGACTTTGGTCAAACTCCCTGTATCAGGGCTTCCCTTCCACCTCAAACTTTCTGGCCTTGTTAATGTTGATTTGATGTTTCCCAAACACTCACTGAGTTCCCTCTTTAAGTTGAACCACTTGAGTCATGATCCCCAGCACTTTGGATTTTATTTTATTTTTGAGATAGGGTCTCACTAACTTTGCCTGAGCTGGCCTCAAACTTGAGATCCTTCTACTTCAGCCTCCCAAGTAGCTAGAATTACAGACATGCACCACCATACCCAGTTCTTTTTCCCATTTTTAATCAGGCTATTTTCTTGCTATTGAGTTGAGTTCTTTTTATATCTTAGATATTAACCCTTCATTAAATGTATGGTTTGCAAATCATTTTCCAATTCCATAAGTTGTCTCTTTGATCTTTTAGCTATTTCCTTTGTTATGCAGAAGCTTTTATATTTGATATAATCTCATCTGTCTATTTATGTCTGTGTATTTAGGTCATATCCAAAAACTTATTGCCCAGACAAATATCAAGAAAATTTTACCCTGTTTTTTTCTAGTAGTTTTGTAGTTTCAGGTCTTAACATTTAACTCTTTGATCCATTTTGAGTTGATTTTTGTGTGTGGTATGAGATAAGATCCAATTTCATTCTTCTACATGTGCATATCCAATTTTCCCAACACCTTTTATTGAAGAGACTGGGGCTCTAAACCATTTCCAATCTCTTGTAAAATACCTACCTGTCTGAAAGGATCTTAGCTCATTACTCAAACACTTGATTTGCTTGAGCTACTTAAAGCTTCTTGACTCAGGGCGTTTTGGAATGATTCTCTCTTTGTACATAGAAGTGCAGAGGCATGTAGAATACGAGTGCACTCTCACAACACACGTGCATACACACTTATGCACAAATTTGTGCACACCCAAATTCCTGTAAATACAGTACTCCCCTATCATGAATTAGGAATCAAACCCATGACTCCCTCAACTTGAGAGCCTTGTGGATTTTACAAAGTGTCTTTCCCTCATTGCCTTAACACAGTAATCATCAAAGCTTGGTCCTCCCATCACCATCACTGAAACTTGTTAGAAATGCAGATATCTGGGCCTCACCTCACACCTACCTCCTCAGAAACTTTGGGGGTAAAACCCATAAATCTGGATTTTAACAAGCCCAGTAGGAGATTCCACTGCCCACTCAAGTTTGAGAGGCACATTGCTGCATCCTTTTCTGGGGAACAGATAGAAAACCATTCCAGTGGGCCTCAATTATAATGGCAAATTCAAAATGAAGTCCCTCATGTGCATCCTCCCCTTTGCACCCTTGTCTCCCACTCTGCTCTTCTTCTTCCAAAGACTAAAAGTATTTTTGTCTCTTTTAATAGGCCTGGCCAAACTGAAAAGTGCTATGGCCTGTGTGAACAAAGACCTTTCTCCAGTGATAGAAAGCATGGACCATGCTGTAACAAGTCTCTACCCGAAGACTCGATATGCTGTTGGAAAAGATGCCAAGACTTTTTGGATTCCTCTGTCTTACATGCCAGCGGCTTTTCAGGACTATTTGTTATTTAAACAGAAAGTAAAGCTGGCTAATCCCAAGGCAGTGTGACTCACTTACCACAGTTGCCTGCCCCGGGCTGTGACATAATTTGGTTTCAAGGACACATCTCCTTTTCAATCTCATTACTTCCCTAATCCAACCTGGACTCATTTCTGCTTATAAAAGAAGGAGTCTCACTATCCCTGACATTGTTCCAGGGTCCCTTCTCAAACCACCGTTGAAAAACAGGACAGCGATGGCATATCAGAGAGGCCAGTGCTGCCCAATATTGAGACTTTGCCTGTTTGGTAGGGCAATGGAAAGACTTCCTCCTCCTTCCTTCCTCTAAAATTGTGTGCAGCACTACCAGTACCATATTTATTAAATAATCCTGAACATTAAACACTGTCTCTGATCAAAATATTAAGAGATAAGTAGAATACTGTCCTAAGAGGATTGACGTGTTCTGTTATCTTGCTGGGAATAAGACTCTGAAGGACTGGAACTCAGTTCTCATAAGCTTTGATGGAAACAGGAAAAGGAACAGAAATAAAGCATTACATGATGCTGATATAAACTAAAAAATAATAATAATAATAATCACAGTATTGCTGGGCACTGAAGGCTCACAGCAGTAATCCTAGCTACATGGGAGACTGAGATTGGGAGAATCATGGTTCCAGACCAACCCCGGGCAAAAAAATTCCTGAGATCTCATCTCAATGAAAAAAAGCTGAGTGCAGTGATGTGTCTGTCGTCCCAGCTACAAGGGAAGTATAAAATAGGATTGTGGTCTAGGCTGGCGTGGGAAAAAAGTGAGACCCCATCTCCAGCAAAAAAGGGCATTGCTCAAGCAATAGAGCACTTGCCTTGCAAACGCAAAGTCCTGAGTTCAAACTCAAACTCCAAGTTCTTACTAAAAAAAAATAGAGTCACTATGTTAGTATCATGAATATTAACAGAATCACCTTATATTTTTTCAGCATGCTGTGTCCCTATAAACTATAACTTAGATTGTTACCACAAATAATTTCTAGGTACCAACAAGTTTTTTATTTTGAGAATGTTCAACTATTTCGTCCACATCCACAGGCCTGCAATCTCTTTTTTTGGTACTAGGGGTTTAAACTCAGGGCCTTGTGAATGCTAAACACATGCTACACCACTGAGATACACCCCCAGCCCTATGATTCATTTTAAAAAAGAAAACATGAGTAATTTCCATCCTCGTGTATGAGGCACTAAACCATAACTTTAATGCAGATTGTAGTTTAACAATTTCTAAGTTCTCTTTGTGTATAACACCCGCCCCCCCCCCAAGTGTTATGGAAAATTCAAACAGAGACATAGGACTTGGGCAAGGAAGCAGTGCCTTATTGTGCCAGCACAGACTAGTGGACTTGTGTCCAAAGGCTGAGCTCCGAGAACAAAGGGGTATCACCTTGTATACCCTTGCAAGCAGGTTACAGAAGCAATAAAATAAAAAATAAAAAAAACAAGGTTTAACTCATATATGGCTATATGAAATTCTATAGGCTACTTCACCCTAGTGCTATGTGACCTTCTTCACATTTGGATTCTTTAGGTTTTATCTCTCTGCTATGCCATCCCTTTCCCCCTGCTACTTTATCAGAACACAGGCCTGTCTGTTTCTCTTCTGGTCCTTCTCCCTCTACATTATTCCCCACTTTGATGCTTTGACCGGCCTAGGTTCAAAGAGCATCATCTTGATTTAGGGGTTTATATTTCCATAGCATCATTACATTGGAGGCCATTTTCTTTCAATAGTGGCTTCCAAAATGGTCCTGATAGACCACAATACCTGGAGAACCAGGCAGGGTAACATCAGACACTCCCAAGATTAGACCCACTGCTCCTATCAGGGTTTTGAATCCGCCCAAGGCAGAGAACCATCCGCCTAACAGGTGGGTCCCATCCTTTCCACACCGGTACAAGTACATGTGCCATCTTTCTAATATTAGTGGCAATTTCCATTACTATTTAACCATTGTCATCTATGTGGAGGCAACAGTCTGATCAGTTGAACTTGCCACATGCTCCCCCCTCCTCAGCTAAAAGATAATCCAAGACCAGGCGATTTTGACATATAGCAGTTCGTATTTGGGTCTGTTGCTAGGCCAGTAGCTCTAGGGCAGAGGCAGTGGGATTGGTAATAATTTCCATGACTGCGTGTAACCTGATAATCCTGTTGAGCATATAGATAGGAGTCAGTAACCCCAGCTCCCATCCTGTGCCCAGGTGGTTGGTCCATAGGTCTCGCCATTCCTCTGGGGAGGCCAATCATCTTCTCCCATCTCTGTTGGCCCCCACCTTGAGGTCCCTTTTTATTCTAGGCCCCAGAGTTTCAAAAAAGGGAACCCCCAGCTGTTCCCCTTGGAGGTTGGGCAAGAAGAACACAGGCTGGATAACTCCTATAGTACAGCTTCCCTTCCAAGTCCTAGGGAGTTTGGTATAAACTCGCTTCCCACATACCCAAAATAACCCATATGGTGCTCTCCACCACCCCAGGTCTGTATTGATAAGCTTATTCCAATATTTGCCAATTTCAGGGATGCCTTAGAACAATTTAAGAGGCTGTCATTGGTTGGAGAATCATAGCATTGGGAACCCCTTTCTGACGGGGGCCATGTCCAATACCATTTAAGCTCATTGGGCCACCAGGTTAGATTAGTCCCATTCCAAGAGAGTCCCCTCTTACAGGGGGTTCCCCCACCCACTTTTCATACTCTGACCCAGTTCTTTTGATACATTCTTCCCTAGTCACCTCTGATGTGAGAATCCAGGTCTGAGGTTGGTTGCTCTCTTGTCTAATTATAGATTGATTCCACAATAAAAGTTGGTAAGCATTTAAACTGGTCCCTTTCCAAAGCCATTCTTCACTCAGGAGGGCCTCCTCACACCCAGCAGTCTCAGACATTTAGTTCTTTAGCAATCCTTTCTGCCAGGTCTACAAAAAGATTTTTACCTATTGTTGGGAGATCCAATCCTTTGCCTAATTCGTCTTTGATTGTATTATACAGTGGCCTAGCTCTTTGAGTGGCAGCCAGCACTGGTCTGGATGAGAGTACCTTTGACACCTGGTGTGCTGTCTCTCTAACAAGTTTTTCCCGAGCTATGTCCTGGACTTCCCCACAATCAGAGCTTCCCCAATATCCCAAATAAGCCCAACAGACCCATTCTCCATGTTTTCCATGACAAATATAGCCTGCATTATTCCCTTTACTCTGGGACTTCCAGTATTGCCTACCAGCAACCTTGCAAACCTGAGGAATATACGAGACAATGTAGCATCTGACCTGTTGGCAGGTATATGATATAAAGTATGGCTGTGCGGAAGTCCCAACAAAGGCTCTCTTATAACATTCAGTACATGAGTAAACCTTACAAGGGCCAATCCACGTAGTAAAAGTCCAAGTAGGTAGAGGAAAACAAGGGTGCGTCCCACATTCAAGCTTCTGCCGTGCATACACTAGTTAGCTTCCAGAGTGGCTAAAGCAGGGCTGCTGTGTTGTTTTCGTGGTCCCCTGTTGTTTCCCAGGAAGCGGGGTCCTGACAAAGAAGGGTGCTGATGTTCCGGAGGATGATCTTACGCAACAAAGCTGAATTGGGGATGCACTCCCACTCGAGAGAAGCTGGTTTGACTCGGCTACAGTAGATCCAAGGAGCTATCTCTGCTACTTTAACTGTAGTAGGGATTGACAAAATAACAACAACAAAAAGGACTCTCCAATAAGGCTTTAATGGTTGGACATTCCATTCCTTTACCCAGACAGCATCTCCTGGCCTATAAGTGTGTGTGGGAGTTGTCAGGCTGACAGGAAATCTCTCTTGGACCCAGTCATTGACCTTTGAGAGAGTCAGTCTGAAGGCCTGCATCTGCTGCCTTAAGGTGAGGTCACCTGTTTCCTTAAAGTCCCCCTGTATTCCCTTGATTAAGACTTCAAATGGTGAGAGCCCCATCTACTTCGTGGGACTAGACCTAATCCTTAGTAATGCTATATTGATCCCACTGCAGATGAGTCTCCTGACAGACACTGCAGATGGGTTTCCTAACTATAATTTTAGGGTTCTATTCATGCATTCCACTTTTCCTGAACTCTGGGAGCAGTAGGCCATATGCAACTTCCAGGTGATTCCTAGGCCTTAGCCATCAGATGTACCACCTCTGCCACAAAGGCTGACCCATTATCTGACCCAATAGACACAGAACCTCAATAACCGAGTCTGAAGTCACCACCACATACCCAGCAAAGTGTGTGCTGTCCCAGAAAAAGCTGCTGCCATCTATGAAATATTTAACATCTGGATTGCCAATAGGCTGATCAGTTAGATCTGGCCTACATGAGAAAACCTAATCCATAGCCTCTAAGCAGTCATGCTCTGGGGGGCCCAAGTCAATCAGCAATACAGTGGCTGGGTTTAGAGTCTTAACAACCTCCAGTCAGATGCATGGGTTTTCACATAGCATACTCTGGTATTTGGCTATCAGAGAGCCAGCCAATAGTTTCCCTTATACTCTATGAGTGTCAAGAAAAAGTGGGGAACTGGTCAGTGAGCTCTTGCCCTAGGGTTAGCTTGTCTGCTTCTGTCACCAGGGCAGCGCTGGCTTCTAGGACATGCAGACAAGATGGCTAGCCTCAGTAATGGCATCAAGTTGTTTTGACAAGTAAGCCACCAGACAGAGCCAAGAGCCCAGTAACTGAATGAGGACCCGAGTAACTGTTCCTTTTGCTCCCAGACATACAAGAAAAAGGGCTTCATCACATCCAGCAGGCTTAGAGCAGAGGCATTTGTGAGTGCCTTCTTGATTTCTTTAAAGGCATTCTCTAGCTCCCTCCCTCATAGCCACTTTGTGGCTTCATAGAGGGGTTTGGCCAAGAGAGAGTAGTTAGGGATCCAGATTCATTAGAAACCTGCAGCTCCCAAACACTCACTAATTTGCTGGTGGGTCTTAGGGGCTGGAATAGAACATACAGCCTGTTTCCTCTCAGGGCCAAGCCTGCATTGCCCCATAACAGGTGAAAGCCAAGGTATTTGACAGTGTTTTAGCAAATCTTGGCCTTTTTCCTAGAAACTTTGTATCCTGCCTCCCATAAAAGAGAAAAGAGAAGGTGCATCACTTCCATACAATCCTCCTGAGTTGGTCCAGCCAGCAAAAGGTTATCTATATACTGGAGGAGTGTGTAGCCATGCTGGTTGGCTAAGAAGGTTTTTAGATTGAATGCCAAGGCAGTTCCAAAAATAGTGGGTGAATTTTTGAAACCTTGTGGCAACTGAGTCCAGGCTAGTTGCCCCTTTTCCCCAGTATTGGGATTTTCCCATTGGAAGGCAAAAAGACTGGCTCTGTGGGGCCAGGCAGATGCAGAAGAATGTGTCTATTAAGATTTACTGTGTGTGTGTGGATTTGGGACTATGGGCTGCAAAATGACAGTTGCTGAATTTACTATCCAGAGGTCCTAAACTGGCCTGAAATCCTCAGTGACTGGTTTCTGGACTGGTAATAAGGGGGTATTCCAGGATGACTGACAAAGTTGTAGGATCCCCTACTTTAAGAGTCTGTCAAAGTGTTTTTGAATTCTGACCTGGGCCTTTACTGTTTCTGGCTGATGGGGGTGAGTCCCAACTTTTGTTCCACCACTACTGGGGGGCACATTTTGGTCCAGACCTGGGGAGGTTATTTTCAGCCCACACACCTAAAATCTTGAAGGGAAGTGCAGGAATCTCAAGAGGCCTCTCTTCAGGGGCAT